CAGTCTTCACTGACATGTTTTCGCCACTGTGCATATGAAGATACTGAAAGGTAAAGTGGATTATTTAGAATCTTATAATTAGGAATTGGCGAGTAGGAGTCTCAAAACTGCTATGCTGTGCAGATTTCTATACCAGTACTAAGAAAGGAAGCAAAGTAACTTAATTCGCCATCTTGTAGAGCCAGGCATTGGGCCAGCTCTTTCCCACATTTGACCTTCTTAACGTTAAGGCAGGTGTGTGCCAGGTGGTGGATGGCTTCAAGGCTCCTTCTGAGTCCACTTGTGTGACTCTTTCTTGTCATTCAAGTTTCAGCTCAAATATACTCATCTCGAAGAAGCTTCCGGGACATCTCCAATCTTCCATATGTTTTACATTTTAGGACTTCTCAACCTACCAGAAATTTTTTTTTTTTTACATATTTGCCTCCCTTTCTACATTGTCAGTCTCCATGGAACAGAGACTGTTTATAATTCTAGCAGCTGGTGCTTAATAWATGTGAGTTGAAGAAATTAGAAGGGAAAAAGGTCAATTAAATGTTAGTGGCAGCACTATGTTAAATACCAAAATTAAGATTTTTTTTTCCTACTTTTTCAGATTTACCACTCTCTCCCTCCATTCTTCATCTGAAGATAGTAAATGTATATGTCTTTTTTTTTTAAAACTGTAACACAGCTCTTAATGCAAATTTCTAAATTTCCAGTTGGTGGTGTATCCTGTTAGCTCCATCTTCCTCAAATGTAGCGATCTAGTCAATGAAATCTCTCYCCTCTTCTCAGTTACTACTTATACTGCTGGAAGGTAAAAATACAGCTACACTACTCCTTCAGCTGTCTGTTCCCCTGTGTCTTTCCACATCACACTTCAACCATCCCATTTTACAACCACACAGTTGTTTTCTTCAGCTGGGGCAGGAAGGCAGGCAGAAGAGTGAAGTCATGTATTTCTGGCGCTTCAGAGCCTAGTAATGTCTTGAAAAGTCCAAGAACAGAAAAGATCGTGGTGCCCCCTTCAATCACGTAGATAATTACAAATAAGAACAATTCTTAAGGTTAGTGAATTTTGGATATATTTTACAATAACCAAAAATAAAAAATCATGCTTGTTTCTAAAACACATCCTTGGTTTGCCTACCAGGTGATCTGGTTCACCTCTGCCCTCCTTTCCTGCTGTCTGGTTTCAGTGTCCTTGTCCTTTTGGCTCTAGCTATTCTTATGCTAGCCTTTTAAATAGCCATTCATCCCACTTTCTGTCATGACACCAATCCTACCAAAGCACCCCTCTGATGTGTGAGCCAGTGTGCAGCATATTTCTTGGCACAATTAGGTGTTTAATAAATGTATGGGAGAGTGATGTCACTCACTCCTGCAAAACTCCCTTTTTACTACTTTTACATCGCTCTGTATTCTGACTTCAATGTTCTTGTCTTATTTTCTATTGCTCCCTATTGGCTAGTTTTGCTCCTTCTAAACTAGCAGCTCTGTGTGCTATGGACACGTCCCATGCTGAGCTGTTTTACATGCATTCTCTCCTGTCTTTCTGGGGTGCTTTCTAATACTTTCTCTGTTGAATTTTGCCTTAAGTATCAAGGCACAGAGCTAACCCTTTCCTGCAGTGTTCCCTTCTTGCTGGGGAATCCAGTGACTCACCCCTCCCTCCCTTCCTCCCTCCCTCCCTTCCTTCCTTCCTTTGCAAAGATAATATAGAAAGTTGCCATATACCCCMCTAAGTTTCCCTGTTGTTAACATCTTACTAATGCAACAATAAGCATGGATGTATAAATATTTCTTCAAGATCCTGCTTTCARTTCTTTGGGGTTCATACCCAGAAATAAAACGCTAGATGACATAGTAATTCTATTTTTAACTTTTCAAGGAATTCCCATACTGTTTTTCATAGTCGTTGTACCATTTTTCTTTCTATCAACATTGCATGAAAATTCCAATTTGCCTATATCCTTACCCAAACTAGCTATTGTCTGTGTGTGTGTGTGTGTGTGTGTGTGTGTGTGTGTGTGTGTTTGATAGTAGTCCTCTTAATGAACACGAGGTGGCATCTCATTGTAGCTTTGATTTGCATTTCTCTAATTATTAGTGATGTTGAATGTTTTCTATGTAGTTCTTAGCCATTTATATATCTTTTTGGAGAAAGATCTGTTCAAATCCTTTACCCATTTTAAAATCAATTTTTTTTTATATATTGTCAAGTTTTAGGGTCAGTTTACACATTCTGGATATTAATCCCCTGTCGGATATCAATTGAAAACATTTTTTATTCATTCTGTGGAATGCCTTTTTATATTGCTCATAGTGTCTTTTGATAAACAATTTTTAAAACTTTCCATGAAGTCCAGTTTGTCAATTTTTTTTTGTTACCTGTGCCTTTCGTGTCATATCTAAGAAATAAYTGCCAAATTCAAATTCCTGATGCTTCTATCCTGTATTTTCTTCTAAGAGTTTTACTGTTTAGGTTTTATGTTTAGATCCTCTATTGGTTTTCTGTTAGCTTTTATATATGGTGTTAGGTGAAGGTCCGACTTCATTTTTTTTGCATTTCATAGCTTTTTTCATTTCTCTATGTGTATATTTTAATGACAGTGCCACACTCTTTTGATTACTATTGCTTTGTATTAAGTTTTAAAATGAGGAATCAGGAGTCCTCTACATTTGTTCTTTTCTTTCCCCCTCTTTTTCATATTTTTATTGGTGTATTATATTTGTACAGAATAGTGGGAATCATTGTTACATATTCATACATGCAACTGATATAGCAATATAGTTTAGCCAATATTATTCCCCAGTTTTTCCCCTGTCCTTAACCTCCTCCCTTCCTTTCCTCTAGCCTACTGATCTCCATTTAATTTTCCTCAACTCTACTGATCTCTCTTAACCTTTCTTTTCTTTTTTCCTCTCTAGCTTCCACATATGAGAAAAAAAAAATACAGTCTTTGACTTTCTGAGTTTGGATTATTTCACTTACTGTTTTACTTATTTCACTTATTGTTTTACTGCAAATGACGTAATTTTATTTTTCTTTATGGTTGAATAAAACATCATTGGGTATATATACCACATTTTCTTTATACATTTATCCATTGATAGTCACCTAAGCTACTTCCACAGTTTGGCTATTGTGAATTGGACTGCTATAAACATGGTATGCATTTGTTCTTTTTTTTTCTAAGATGGTTTTGTCTCTTCAAGGTCACTTGAGAATCCCTCCGAAGTAATTTATTTTAAATYTGTGCATGTCAAGTTTCACACTCATGCTGTTAATAAGATCCATGGGTTTTAACAATGTATAGTGTCACATGTCCACCAGACAGTGTCATACAGAACAGTTTCGCTGTCCTAAAAACACATTTCACTTCAGACACGTTCCACCATTTTCAAATTCCTGAAAACTACTCATTTGTTTGCTGTCCCCAATAGTTTTGCCCTTTTTTTAAGTTATCTAGATAGAATCATGCGGTAGCCTTTTCTGAAAATCTGATTTTTCTTACAATATGAATTCAAGACTCATCCATATATTTGCCTTTTTTGTCATTGCTCATTAGTTTTTTAACTAATAATAGTATGGAGGAGGGCTTTCTATTCCAAATTTTACAACCCATACCTTCATAGCCATCATCTGATACTATTTTCTCTCAGGTTGTCTGGTCACGCAGAGCTTTTTTCTGCTCTTCCTACACAGCATTTGGTTGTTTTCTTAGTGTCATGAGCAATTTAGTCCTCTCCCCTAACTTGTATATGCTGAGCAACAAACACAACAGGGCTTTTATTAGCATCTCAGGTTCCACYGGTCATTTTTTGGACTTCACCTTCCACATGCTGGTGTTAAATCTCCTTTATGGTTCCAGTCAACATTCTTCTCTTCCAATATCCTAATTTCACTTCTATTTATACAGTCTTTTAATGTGTGACTCGTATCTTCATCTCTGTATTCTACAGCAATCCTGGGCCTATCCCCTTGTAGACATTCGATAAGTACTCATTGAATTGACAAATAGTCAATATGGTGTTATGTAAGAGCCAGATTGCATACAAACCAACATAACTTGAAGTGCACACTATATTCAATGCYATATTCCATCCACTTGCATGTATATTTGTTTCCTATGCTCTCACGTTTTTAAAAAAAATATATTTGAAGGTCACTTCTAAAAAAYGACCTGAAATCTGAGATGCATTCAATTTATGAAGAACACATGGTGTTTATACAAGCATTTCCAAATAGTACTATGCTAGTGAACCTTGATAATGTATGTCAGAGGTTTTTGGCATTAGCCCAGAACATCAGCATTACTATAAACAGTTGAAATATATTATATGAAATTTATTTTCTCATAAAATGTTGCATGGTCAGAATCATGGAGTTGGCTAGCCAGAGTAGAATCATTATCATGCATATTATTGGTAAAAAGGAGCYGATATGTTCGTATATTAAGGGATTCACTTAAAAATCCTTAATATTAGTATAAAATTTAAATATTGAGATCTAAGAAAATAAAATCACTTTCTCCCTTTAATGCTTTTGAAGTTTTAAGTCCAGTGGGCATCAACCAGTATCATGCATGTTCCTTTGATTTTTTTAAAAAAGTATAGATATGGTAATGCAAATTTTATTTTTCTTCCATAGGAATCCACATCCAMACTGATTTGAGCATATCACCCTCCCTCCCCACAACACACACACTTTTTAAACATGCAGGATTAGAAAAAGACAAAAAAGGAAAAAGTCAATATTCAGAAAACAATATTGTGTTGATTTTAATTTAACATCTGCCCAGTTTAAATGCACACTGTACYCAATAACATTTGGAAAGTCTTGAAACCTAGTAATGTTCTCAAGAGAACCCAACATATTGAATTAAAATTTAAGAAACCCATTACACGTCAATTCTATGTAAAATGAAAATGAAAATGTGTCAGATATTCTTTCCTTTAGGTGCCTTGAGAACTTTCACCTGAACTATCCTCTGACTGTTTCTTTGTCCTCTTAGGTGGCCATGTTTGTGTTACAGCTGGGCAGTGCCACATTCCTGCTTACGGAGCCTGTGATCAGTGCAATGACAACTGGGGCTGCCACCCATGTTGTGACTTCGCAAGTCAAGTATCTTTTGGGAATAAAAATGCCATATATATCTGGACCACTTGGCTTCTTTTATGTGAGTTTTCCAAATGTCTGTGTTCATATATATGGACTGTGTATTTTTTCACGAAGAAGAATTTAGTTAATTACAGTTCTGAAAATTTTCTATTTTATAGTAACTTGGGTTTAAATAGAATCTTGCTGAATATTTTAAATATGATTTATTGTGTGAAAGTACTTTAATCTGTAATATTTACCAGTTCTGGAAACAATTGAATGTGATATATTTTGGGAGCTCAATGAGAAAAAGTAGCTTGGACGTTTTTACATGTGTGTGTGAAGCAGATATGCTGCCAACTTCTAATGGAAGCCATCTTACCAGGGTTGTGGCACAGTTTAACACCAGTGCACTGTACCACAGTCTCTCAGGATTGTGAATCCCAGAAGGGATCAAAACAGARGCCTGCTCAAAACTAGTGACTGTAGACCCAATAGCCAACAACCAGCTGTTCAAAGCCATCTGAACCCAAGAGAGAACATCTGCCCAGTTTCAAGACATTTCCATAACATAAYATTCTCCTTTGCTCTTGATTTCTTTTTAAAGTTGACCTAAAATCTRTGACTCCTTGCATTCAATTGGAGMTTTATAAAAAGAAAAATGTCCTGATGATTAACTTAATAGTGAGCAATTTTCATTTTCCTTAACTTTATACGTTGTTGTAAACTTAATGACATTAATGTTTTAYAACAAGAATATTGCCGTCCTTAAACTTTTTAAATCTGWATGGTTGAACAGTAGCTTGATACATGGAAGTACAATTACTTACTGATATAATTAGTGTTATTGAGGTGTTTTTTGGTATTACCCTATTTGGTTCTAGGAGGATTCTATTTATGTATTCTTTCTGTGTCACTGATTATGAGGATAAGTTCCTCTTAATGGAGTTAACTGACCAAAAGGATATAATATCTTTTTTTTGTCAAATTTCAATCTGAAAAGTTGCCCAGATTATTAATTTACTCTGACTTTATTATTGTCAACTCTGGCGACTTCTATTTAAAAAAAAATCTCCAGTTTTAATAAGTGAAAAAATGATGTCAACTGATTAGGTGGTTAAATAGTTAAGAATGATAGTAATTGGCAGCACAGAATTGGAAACCAATTATAAAATTTTGTGACTTAGATAATATCTGGATCAATGATTCATTCMTAATAAGAAAGCTTAAAACCAAAACAGGGAAACTGGAACTGGGCCTGGAAGCAGCATAATTTCAAGCTTCAGCTCAAAAAAAAAAAACAGACCAAAGTAGCTGTAAGCTGTCAGATGACTGGCTGAGAGTTAAGACTTTCACTGGCACCATTTCTATGAGTCAGAAGAAAATCAGTGAAGATTCTCTCTTGACCTGTCTGGAAACAATGTATTTGCCTGTGCATGTGCATTATAGAAAATGCCTGCAGGTTATAGCTTGGTCTCTTTAGTCATATATACAGATAGTGATCTTTCTTTTCACAAATAGTGTTAAAGAAGCAGGGTAGCCTGATATGGGAATGACGTCTTTTTTTTTTTTTTAGCTTGTTTCTATTATGACACTGTATATGACTGTTATATGAAAATGTTTTGTGTTAGGTTTTTTTTTTCATTTTGTTTTCCAGTGAAGTAGATTGGAAGTTATTTTATTTTGATATTTTAGGTCCAATATTATATGACTTTGGGAAATCTTTTGTGTGACTTCACACTCAAACTAAATCAAATTTAAGAATAATTTTATACCCCTGACTTTAAATTCACATTGCTATTCRTATAAGTGACTGTGTTTTGTGCTGATGAAAAAAAAATGCAAAAATGTTGCTCTTTCTTCTCAGTTGCAGATCCCTGCACTGTTCAGCTGTTAGATAGGAATGGGGCTTTGTTTTTTGCCACTGTCAGTAGATGCTGGTTTTGCAATGTCAAAAATTGTGGTGAACTTTAGATTGAAAAAAAAATTTTACATCATATGTAATTTACATGGGGATATAAAATGAGCTCTGGTATAGTTACATTATCAGTAAATCAAAACTTTCTCCTGAACAGTTTAGGTGGTACCTGAAGGAGTAGTGCTGAACTCAGCATGTAGATATAGGGCAGAGGACATCATAGAGGTCTTGATCATCAAGTCCAAGGCTCTAGAGAAGAGTAACACAGTTGGGGGAATTTTCACCTTTTTTGTATTTTGACTATGCATCTTGCTTCTGCAGTTTGACCCTCTGAAAAGCTATTTTTTCCCCTCTGAAAGCTATTCAGGCCAATGAGAGATTARGAACATATAACTGATATTTCTTGGAGCAGAAGTTACTAYCTAGACTAATACTCTTGCAYAAYGAGTCCATCACAAATCTTAGTAACCTCGGTAGGACAGTCYTCTTTTGTCAAATGAATTCAGGTTCTGTCAACCAAAGTGCTCATTAACAGCACTAATGATGGTAGCAGCCATCATTCTGTCAACATAGAGAAAACATGACTTTCTGCATTCTTTCTGTTGCCAGATTGGGRCCTGCAGGTTGGGATTGCTTCCTTCTGCTACTGTGATGGTTTCTATAGTGTCTTCTTTCTGGGAGATCCTTAATTCGAGGCTATGAAGAGAATTCAGTTCTCTGCTTTGAATATGTCAAATTTCCATCCATTTGGTTGCTCTGGGCTGACAGATGTGCTTGTCTTGGTGGAACATTTTTAGGGAGCAATTTAAATCAGATACAGGAAGTTGTGTAGTCTCAGTTCTACCCTCTTAGGTGCAGATTAAGTATCTAATAGCTTGAGGGATTGACATGGCATATCTTTTCCTACATTCTACCATTTGGATCTGGAGTGTTCTCCAGGGGCCCATGTGTTAAAGGCCTGGTCACCAGTCCATGGTGCTCTAGGAGGTGGTAAAACCTTTAGCAAGTGGGTCTGAGTGGGAGGTCTTCTGGTCATTGGGGCTACATCTTCAAAGGGCATCATGGGGCCCAAGTCTTTTCATCTCTCTCTCTCTCTCTCTCTCTCTCTCTCTCTCTCTCTCTCATTTCTGGCCATGAAGTGAGTGTCTTTGGTCTGCCATATACTCCCTGACATGCTATGCTGCCTCACTAGAGGCCATCAGCAAAGTGGACAGGTGATCACAGATGGAAACATCTAAAACTATGAGCCAAAGGACATCTTTTCTCTTTAAAAGTTGACTCTCTTAGGCATTTGCTACAGTAATGGAAAACCGACTAACACAAGCATACACCACAACTCCAGCTGAGCTCTGTTTCTCTTTTAGCTGTCAACCAGCATCCTCAGGTGAGGTGTTCTTCCAGGAGTCTTAAACCCCGCTGAAGCTTTCCCCTGCTACTTGGAGGGCCCATTAAGAATTTCAAAGGTCCTCCATATTCAAAATAAGCCTCTAGAATATATGTCATGACCCCCCTATGTCCCTAAAGAATGGATGTGTAATTAGACCTAACAGACATTTTTTTCATTTCAGCTTTTCCTGCTTCCTTTAGCCTTAGTTCTACTTTTCCCTCTATTCTTCAAGATATTTTTTCTCCTTAATTCTTAGGAATTTGGAAACTCTCTTTTTTTAAAAAAATTGTTTTCTTCCTAGTGACTTTGAAGAATATTTCAATACATTCTTCTTCTATTTTGAGTAAAAATCAACTTTTTTTCTGAGTTAAATTTTAGCTCTGATGATTTTTGTAGGGTGTATACAATCAGACTCTAACTGATTGGTAATTTTTCTCCCTGCAAGGTGGGTACAGGAGAAAGAACTTTRCAACAAGAGAAGCCCAGATTCAGATCACAGCTCAAGTCATGACCACAGCAAATGACTGAGTGTCTTTAACTTCYGTTGCCTGTTCTGTAAATTGATGATAATTACACCTGATGGTGTTCATTCTCAAAATGAAATGTCTGGAATGTTAAATGGRAGCCATTAGATTTTKACTAGCAGTGAAGGTTTGGATATAATAAATTGCAGATTTAAATGTGCCACTTAAGTGATAAATACTAATGCTTATCCTCTACAGATGACTCTTAATTAGATAAACAAAATAAGACGACAAAAAATGAGATTATATGATCTTTGAAACTTAAATATCAAAGTGACCTGAAAATTTATAACACTTAGAAATAGTTCTGCTCTTAATGAGGGGTGCTTATYAGAATTGCAGAAATGCTATTATTTTCATTTGCAAATATTTCCATTGATTCAGCTCAAAATTCCCTTAGCATTTATAATGTCATATAGTAACACATAAACAATTCTATAATATATTTAAGAATAAGCAGAAACAATAATGTTCAGGGTCAYAGTGTCTTGGAATCTTTGCTCACTGTTTAAATCATTCTATTTTTATTGTCCTGAAGATTCAAATATTTGAATGACAACTTGTTTGTCCACACAAATAAGAGGGAAAAGTTTAATTCTTTAGAATTAAAGGATCTAATCAAGAGATGTAAAGTATCTGTTTATTAGAAAGGATGCTTTCCCCAAGAGGCACAATAAAAGTTACAAAAATTCCTAGCTCATATTAACACATGTGGATTTCTTTGAGATGGCGCCAGTGCCTCAGCCTGCAGCAGCCTATGATAAATTTGGCAGAACTAGCCACTGGCATGGCTTTATATGAGTACCCTTCTAAGTAATTATSCACAGTCCTGTGCATTAAAACTAAGAGCAAAAGGCAAGCTTGGCAATATATTCAACCACCCTTCTTGGAAGTTTTATTTCCCTCCTTAAAAATGGGAAGTTTCAGAACTGGGAAACAATTGCATTTCCCCTCACACCCCTGCCGTATAAGCAAAGCACTTTTTGAGTTTGGACTGCAAAGGCTGCAAAGCAAGAATCAAGAATGTTAATAAAGTGGAATCGAAACATCAGAAGGAAATCAGAGCCGATGAAGCAGTTTCTTTTATAGAGAATGAGATCACAATTAAATATGTACAAATGAGATTTCTATGTGCAGAACAAATCTTCTTTGAGGATATAGGCCCCGTGGGTTTTCTGAGTCAAGAACACGCTTTGGTGCTTTATGAAATCCCACATTTTCTTTGCAGATATTGTGATGTTTCTACTGTG